TCTCTCTGTCAAGGGAAGGTCCTAAGTCCTGTATCACGAGAGAAGGGCTGTTAATGTTTGTAATTGATCACAATTATTACAAGAAATATAAACCATTAACACACTTTTGCTTATTGCCTCTCATTTTCATTTCTTTTCCTTTATTCAGGAAAATTGTTCTACTGCTGGTAGGACTTGATAATGCTGGAAAAACTGCAGCTGCAAAAGGCTTGCTGAAAGGTATCAACAATACTAGTAGAGGCAATATCAATTTATTTAAAAAATAAAGGTGGAAAAAAGATAAACATAAAATATTGTTGAGTTTCACTTTATTATCGCCTTTGATTTTTCTTACAGAAAACACGCACCCTACTGTGCCAACTGTTGGGTTTTCTTCCTATACTCTTTTACATAGAAGATACTCAATAGTTATTTATGATTTGGGAGGAGGTCCACAGATAAGAGACATATGGTCTGAATACTATGCAGATGTAAGTTGACATTCCATCTATATTTATAGAAGACTTGCATCAATTACAGGATGATTGATGGCCTCAATCTTGTTAAATTCTTTTCAGGTGCATGGGATTATTTACGTCATTGATGCAAGTGATTCAGGAAGAATAAATGAAAGTTCTACTGTTCTGACACAACTTTTAAGAAATGAAATGTTGAAGGGAAAACCTCTTTTACTGTATGTTGAAAATTTGACTGCGGTTCCTGCCGCCTGTTAAAACTCCTGAAATTATTTTTCAACAATTTATATTAATTGAATTTATTCCTTAAATTCCAGTCTAGCCAACAAGCAGGATGTTGATGGTGCACTTGATGAAATTGATGTTGTTGAGAGACTCAATTTAGAAACAATTGTAAATGAACTAAAGTGTCAAACTTTAGTGGAAACTTGTTGTGCTGTACCACCACCAAGCAATTCTAGGCTGCGTAAAGCATATACTGATCCAGGAATACAGAATGGCTTTAGGTTCTTATGCTTTTGAATTTATTCTGGAGCTCTCCCAAAAAAACTTTTTCTTGAAGTGAATCATTTATTTGCTTTTCATGTAGATGGATAATAAATCAAATTATAAAAGACTTCTCTGCTATTAACAGCAGAGTAGAAAAAGATACTAAAGCAGCTCAAGTTCAGCTGTTAGTAGAAAAGGAAAATAGGAGGAAAAGGGTTGAAGAACAGCGCCGAGAAAGAGAAGAACGGGAAGGGACAATTATAATACCCCTTCGCGACGGCTCTCCTGTATGGATTTTATATCTACTTTTACTTGCACCCTTCCATGCTGCTTTTTCTCCTCATGAGCTAACATTTTTTTTTATCACAGGAAAGCCTAAAGAGCAGGATCATTACCGTTCAACCACCAGGCATTCTTGATACACAGCAGTTATCATCTGAGGAAAAAGCTAATCCCTCTGACTCTCAGGACAGTGGCTTTACTATTCAAACTGGAGATAGAGATAGTGATTCATTGAGTACAGTCATTAGTAAAGACAGTGCCGTTCAGTCAATACACAATGTTAAAGCAGATGATGGTTCAGAAAAATCAACCAGAAACAGCTTTGGTACGGATCTCAAACCCTGTGTTTTTACTTTATCATTAGTTATACCACCATTGAACCATGTGAAAAAGAACTCAGATATATCCCTCCCTATTGTAGAGTTGAAACCTAAAAGGAAACCATTTACGAAACGATCAAATAAGACTGCACCAGCCAACTTTCCAACAGAACAACAGTCAATGGAAACCAGACCGGGTGCTCCACACCGACTGCCACCACTGACTCCTCAGCCTAATCATGTCAAGATGGTGAGAATGGTTTCGGTTCATTCTGTAAGATAACTGGTTAATTTTTGATTTTTAACAACAGCTGCTATAACTTTTCTTATTTTTTAGTTTGAAGTAAAATCAAAACGACAAAGGTTTGTAACGTCAATGAGCCTGTCATTTGACAGAAGTTTATCTGATTTGACTGATGAGGAAAGATCGCAAAACTTGGTCAGCTTCCCATCAGACTGGCAGCTTTTGAGGCACCAGAAAGGTTTGTTGGCCAATATACATCAAGTACATAGTTGTCAAAAAACATAATTTTTGCTCAACATGTACATTTAATGCAAATTACAGGCAAGGAACAGAGACTTGATGAATCAAATGAGAGCAATGAAACAGATACACTAGGTAAGACTTTTGTTGTCTCTAGGGGTGTTTCATCTATTGCAGGTAGTGACAACCATTAAACTAGAAGACTCAAAAATTACTTATAAAATAGATATTAAATTATTTCTTCATTTGCAACAAATTGTTGTTTAATCTAGTCAGTATATCTAGTCAGTAGATAGTTATGATTCTGTAAGTTTTCTGACTATCATTATATGTAAAATATAGATGCATGAGCATATGTTGTAACCAAGGTTTCTTTGCCCTGTCCTGTTTTGAGTGTATCAGCGAATACATCTGTCTTTAACGAAAGAGTTAACTCTTTCGTTCAAGCATCTGTGTTGAAGGTTTGCATACTCACTCTGGCAATAAGGCCAGTATGCAAACCAGCAACACTGCGTAGTTGTACTCTCTGTTACACCAACTACTACACCACTCCAAAAACAACAAAAAAGAGAAATTCAAAAATCAGTACCACAAAGCAAAAAAATTTTGTAGAATTGACCAAAACTTTTAGGCAAATATCAAAGTTGAGAATTGTTTTTACTGAAAAGTTAATGAAGGTTTTATTGTGAAAGTTTTGAGTATATATACATAAAATAATACATCACCAGGTACAACATTCTCAAAAAATCTAGCTGTACAATCAATCCTTGGAATGGCTTTAATCTTATTACAGTTCATGAAAATTACATACATATTTCTTCATTTAATGGTATTCATTATACATTATGTCAAATTTTAGGATATTCTTCGATATCTTAGATTTTTCGCCGTCGAAACGAAGAAGCCAGTATCATTCAGACAAAAACAAAAAGGTAAGCTAATTCGTATGTCAGTCAGAAGAAAAAAAGAAAACACCAAAGAAACCACCTCAAATGCTGGAAGTCTATCTACCTATTTGTGATGACTAGAACTTCCTTCAATGTTTATGTAACTTTAAGTACCACAATGTCATAGAAAAAATAGTGAAAATATGAGAATTACAAAACATGGACATGTCATGTGTCTTTTTAATTTTTTCTATCAAGCAAGTAGAATTAGCTCAACTGCAGACGCAATACATGATTTAGTCATGTTAAGCTGAGTAAAAGGCTTTCCTGCATTCGCTAGGCGATCCGATCCACTGAAAAATTGTGAAATAGAACATTTAGAGCTGTTATTGTGAAATGATTGAATACTGTCAATTTGCCCAAGAAACAATGCGACAACAACAGAATGTGATGTGGGACAACTGAAGACATATGAAATAAATAATCAAAGGAATCACAATTAATAAAATATTAAGCCTACCCAAGAAAAACTCCAGTCCGAGTCTAATTCTAGTCCACACTTACTCCACGCTTAAATTTGACTACCCGAGTAGTTGTCATGATATGTGAGGGGCTATAACTGAAAACTGACATGAAAGCACCACCAAAATGTAGCAATTATCTGTGTCAAATGATTCAGGAAACTTCTTTTATCACCATACACAAATTTTAACATAAATCTGAAGTAAATATCACTACAAATCACATACCTGAGGCATCCTGTTCCATAGTCCTAATACTCAGCTAATCCCAGACAATTGACAACAGCAGTGAAAATCAATGTTTTGATTCAGTGCAGTCCTAGACGTGACACAGCAACAAAACATGCAAACCATAAAAAGGAGCATTATAGAGAGCTGTAAACAGAACATGCAACTAGCGCCCGGAGTGTACTCAAAAACCACAATTGTATTCATACAATACAATATGTTACAGTACACAAAGATATACCACTATAAAATGTTCATATTTAATCCAAACAATATAATGGCTGGTGTTAGTTTTGGAAAATGAGTGAGCACAAGCATACATTTATGCAGTACAAAAGACTGTTACAGACACGGAACTCTGGTTGCAAAGACAACAAGTACACCACTCCCATTACAGTCAATTATCTGGGAAATTAGCTTAGTTTTCTATGTATTTACTGGACATGAGAGAGGTTTTTACTATTGTACCACTTATCATCCAAAACCAACATAACTTGATCAATGCAATTCTCACATTTTTTGACAAAAAAATCTGTTGAACACACACTTTTTTCTGCACAACTCTTAACCATGAAAGGCAATAAATTGCGCTACTTATTTAAACTTAAAAAAAGGCAACAATGATTTTAAGCTTTAATCCAACAGAATTTACAAGTTGATTTGAAGCTTAGAATTGTAACTAGTGTACTTATAAAATCAATCTTGTAAAATGCTTTCATTGAATGAAAATGAAATTCACTGAAAGCATTGATGCAAAAACAAAACCACATTTACAGCACAGCCAGATAAACCAGCCATTAACACCATGGCAAGAATTTAACACAGGCTTATCACTCTTGAGGCTTGATAAAGCTACCTTTGAAAAACTATAACAATATTTTAACAATGTCTTAATTAAACTTGACCCAATATTTCAAAGGAAACAAGTGGTATATTATAGTAAGATAAAATATTTCGCTCTGACTATAGACTCTATACAATAATAAAATAATATGTTGAACAGACTATGCAAAAACTAATTAGGGCACTGAAAAATTAATTTTGCAGAAACTAATTTGTGACAGTTTAATTATGATTGCCTCAGTAAAGATGATCTAGATAACAAAAACATACATCAAATTCAATGAGAAATAATGAAACACAGCAATGTCTCAATTACTCTCTTTGAACACATACAAATTAACAGTCTTGAATATAACCTAAACATTGGAAACAAAGGATAGACCGCATTACAATTTTTATATAGGGTAAATTGCTCTTTACTCTAAATACACAGCAACCATTCAGGCTGGCAACAATAGTTCAACACAATTTGTGATGAAAAGAAAAACAATGCAAAAACTCAAAATCAATAATTTAAATAGAGAATCTGGCAATTCTCCGAGACGATAAGTATTAAATTTGATGAGCTATCTGATGAAAGCCTATCAGTCATAATTGAATTCTGTATAGTAGTAGCTAGAATGTAACAATCAAGCAATGATGCAATAAAATTTGAAAAATAAATTCAAGTTTATATTTCTGGTAAATTTATCCTTTGGTTCTATCACTTATTTTTCTTCGCACATTCAAAATGAAATAGCTACCACAACTTTCACATTTCTTGATATTTTACAATTCAAACATTTCGTCTTGTTCCCTTTGAAGACGCTGAAGGGACGTTCTTACTTTTCGTCCTTGTGTCATCACTATCGGGTGAGGTGGAGAGAGGATTTCAGATGAAGATGGGGCCACTATCTGATGTTGGTTTTGCTGACGCAGCCTTGAAACTGGTGGCCGCTTACGGGAAAATATGTCATCTTCAGAGAAAAGACTATAAAAAAAAGGTAATTGTGAGTGAAAATGATCAAACTTAAATAAGGGTAATACTGTTTAAGTAGTATGTTAACTAACCTGCTGCTCCCTTGAACTTTCTGAACTTGATTTTTAGTACTAGCTATTGATGAATCAATTTTGTCCAAAAATTCATTGATACTGTGCTCATCTGAAAAGCCATTTTCCACGGAAGAACTTGAACTTGGTGACATCGGTGAAGCTGGCGATGAGACAAGGCTTGCACTTGCAGATCCAGCAGGTGACAGGAGCCCATCAGTGTCTGGGACGGGGATCATAAGAAACTCCCTTAGAAATAAACTGTCGTTGGCAAACAGCCTGTTTGCCCGTCGAATTTGTTCAGTCTGCAAAATATGAAAAAAAAAAAAATTGATGTGAGCTTGGATAACAGAGCATCATATATCAATACTGGGAATAAATCATGAATCTGAATATAAAGTTAGAGAGACTGTTGCAGTGTAAAACAGTGAATACATTATGTCTAACAACAAAACATAACCTAGATATGTTGACCAGCTACATTCAGTAGGGCAAAGGGCACAGTCCCCGAGTTGCGATCAGACAGAAAAGGGTAATCTGCGAGGCGTGCCAGCGTCGAGTGGGGCTCGGACACCACTGATAACGCCCGTTCTACGGCGACCTGGACGTACGGCCCTAACCTGCAAACGGCGACTTACCGTGACTCCGTAACGCAGTGCCAGCCCCTGGAGCGTATCGGTTTTGCAGACAACATGCTTTATCAAGTGTTCGGGCCTCCTCTGGCTGCTGGTGCTCCCGTACCGCTTGAGGGAGCGCGCGGAATCCCTGATGGATCGCTTTTCGTCTAGGGCCCCGTCTGCCATTGTGTAACGCGGGCATCACCTCCGACACCAACACTCGAGTGCAGTGCAGAGGGAATCGGGTCAGCTGATCAGTCCTAAAAGTCGGGCAAGAGCGCCGCCGGGAGGGCGCGACCAGTCGGGCCAACCTGACGCGCGGGTTTCCCCTGTGTGCAGAAGCAGCGGGAGCCAGTGAATATGTAGCAAGAGCCCCCGCCTTTATGGACTTCGGCGGACGAACAACTCGCAAAATGAAGAGCCCACCAAACGAGACGCTGCTCGGCCGTCGCAAGGATCCAGAGGCACCCGCTGGGAGTGACGTGACAGAGCGCGGCGGGAAAAGGACAACAACCTGCTCCGGGGAGCACAGCCTGTCGCCCGACACGCTCGCGCGGCCGTGGGAGGAACTCGCACAAGGCGGCGCCGTACAAAATCAATACTTTGCCCTGCCTCTGGTCGGCCAGACCGAGGCGCCCTCCCCTCTGTGTCTGTGTCGCACGCGCCCCAGCAGCAGCACCCCGCGCTGCGCTCCTCCCTGCACTGCCTCTCCGAGGTGCGATCCTCCTGGCCAGCGGGAAGAAGATGATGGGAGCCGAGACCACCAAGCTCTGAGCAGAGCGCGCCGACGTGCGGCCGGGGGGCCAGGGGCCAGCGGGCCGCGCGAGTGTCCTCCTGGTCATCCTGGCGATGTGAGCCCGCCAGTGTCCACCCCCCGCGCAGCCCGCCACCACCATAACCATGAACGTGCACTGGGAGCGGAACACCAACGCCAAGTGCGACTGCACCATCCTCAACCTCACCTGGATGGGCAAGGTGCCCGAGGAGCTCCCGGAGGTGAGTACCCCGCGGCGTCCGCGGCGGCCAAGGAGGGCGAGAGGCCACCGTCGAGGCCACGGCAGGGCACGGTGACGGGACGGAGAGGTTAGGGGATCACAACACACATGCCCTGCTCGGCCTGTGCCCGGGCTGCTCGGCGGCGTGCAGGGCCGCGCGGCGGAGGGCGGGACGGCCGAGGAGCAGGGAGGCGGACGATGGGGAGGTCCCCGGCGAGCGGCCCGCGAGACAGCCTTGTACGGCTTCGAGGGGCTCTCTGGGCTTTGGGGACGGGGCGACGACCACCACAGTGTCCGGGCGCGGGGGCGTTAAAGGCGCTGCCGCTGGCGGGGTGTTGTTCTAGCTCAGCCCGGGTGGGTGCTGTGGGCGGCGTCAGTGAGGACAGAGGGCGAGCCCGCCTAGGGCACAACAACAACGTTTTAGAGGTGCTCGGGGGTAAAAGAGGGGGGGGGGGCAAGGGGACCTGCCTGCCTCCCTCCCGGTCAAGGTCCGCGTTGTCCCAAAGGGCCTCTCAGGCCGTGTGCGCGCAGGGTCGTGGGTTGACACGGGGCGCACGCCCTGAGGGACCGCCAGGTGTAACCTGCAAACCCGGAGCGTATCGCACAACGTGCAGCGTACTGTTAACGTGTAGGGCCTAACGTGTATAACGTTTGTGGCAAGGTGACGGTGGGTCCAGGCCCACGAACGTTTTGTGGTTGTCTGCGTCGGACAGCGTTAGCCACGCCACCAGACCGATTGGTCATCCACCAAGGTGCCCCGTTGAAATGACAGGTTTGAGTTCAGCTCCAAGAGTTCGACCGGATCAGAAAAACGTAACTGTGCGCGGAGATTCGAACCCCTGCCCTGTGACTCACGGGACAGACTCCCAACCGGCGCGGCTACGACGCCACGGTATCAATGCCCGGGCGAGCTAGCGTAAAGGCACGCGTCACCACAGAGCTTAAGCGGGAGAAGAACGGAAAAATTTGTTGTTTTTCAACAAAAATATTTGATAATTATAAAGGTAAAATTGTCACGGCTTTTGGAGGTAATTTTACTGCCGACCGCACAGAGGTGATTCACATCTAAAGCTTGGTGGTGGTTCACCGAGAGGTAAATGTAGTATAGTACTTTCGGCGATGTTGTAAATCCCCTAGAGGTAATTAGCCAAGCGTTCCTCCTTCTAGTTTCCCCTTCTAGTTCGATGACCAGTCCTTAGAGTTACCGTGCCCATACCACGGATCGCTGTGAAAAGGGGTGCTGGCGTGCTGGTCCTTGGCTGCCCATCTCTTAGTCGAGTTCGTTCTCTACGAAAAGTTTACGGTTGAGTCATCAATATTTTTGATACCAAACATCAAAATGTTGTTTGATCCATCCGCATTAGTCCTACGGTTGTGCGCATCGAAATTACAGTTGCCGTAAATGGATCCTCCATAGAAGGTACAAGTACGTCCGCACGTCCGTTCTCTCGGAGTCATTCGTGAATGACACTGAAGCTCGGCGCCTGCGAGACTCGGGGTAGGCCACCCCGCAGTACACGCATGCAGTGCAGCCGAGATGTTGCCTACGCACCAGGCGCTACGAGAGCTTTGCAAAGGTCGAACTCGGCAGGTTCGTAACGGTGAATGACGGACGTTCTCTCTGGATGACCCCTGAACACAAGTTTGGCTCCTGTAAATTAAAAAGTTGATGCTCGTGTGACGGTCCCGCCGGGTGAAACACTGTTTGATGCGGTCGCGAGGAAGCATTCCTCTGAGTGTGGAGGTTGATTGGAGAGTCAGTTCGACACCCTGGATAGAGTAAAAGGCACGCAGTTTTTGCCACGAGATTCGAAATCCACGCCGTTCAGTTCGGCCGCTCCACCGCTCCACCCCGCTCGACCCCGCTCGACCCCGAGATCCATACCATACGGCGCAGCTCACTTTGCTGGAGACTCATACGCAGCAGTGCTCTTAGCGAAGGACTGCGTGGGGACGTGGGGATCTCGGATCCATGGCGGCGGCCGAGAACTACGCGGATCCTTTTGGGTCCAGAGGGCGCTGAACTAATTTGCGTGCCTCCCTATAGCTAAATTCAGGCGATGTTTCAAATTCGCTCTGAAAACCCAACAGCATGCATTGCATGCGTTATTTAAAGCATGCATGGTCATGGTATGCACACTGTATTTAACGCATGCATTGAGATGCATGCTGTATTAATGCATGCATTGAGATGCATGCTGTTGCTACAACTCGATTTCGTGAACTTTTCGGTTTTATTTTTGATAAGCCCATCAGATTCCTTGCTGCTTTAAATAACGCATTCAATGCATGCTGTTGGGTTTTCCGATCGAGTTAAAACGAGCCAGTTCACTTGTGCGTGAGTCCCAGAGTCCCATGTCGACCCCTCGTCTGCAGGGACGCTAGTCCTTTTCTAGGTAAGCCGCGGCGCTGGATCTCGAGTACTCCGAAACCCTAGCTCTCCGGGGCGCCTTCGCCTGGGCGCTCGCCCGCCCGTTGGCTCACACGCCTGCTGCTCTCCGACTTTCCTTCCCTGAACATGGCTTACACGTCTGTAGCCTTGACTTGCCTGGCGACCCGTCGCGCTGTCGACACTTCGATTGGCAAACGCGCACCTCATTCAATAGAGCGACGCGGCGAGGTACGGGGCAAGGGCTTGGGGAGGGGGGGCGAGGGCTCCCACAACAAGGGCCCCCAAGGGCTCCGCGGCGCACAGGTGGTCGTGCTGCCCCCGGCGCAGCCCGCGCAGCCCGGCCGGGTCACGGCTAGGGTGCTGGGACCCGGGGGCCGCCGGGGGCCGCCGGGGGCGGGGCTCCGGCAGAGCGCAGAGCTGGCAGCACTGCTCTCTCTCTCTCTCTCTCTCTCTCTCTCTCTCTCTCTCTCTCTCTCTCTCTCTCTCACTCTCTCGCGTGTGCTCCAGTGCTACCGCGGCCCCGGCTCGATACTTATCATCTTCCGCTATTCCTGTCTCTGAGAATGTGGGTCGGCCGACACCATCGAGAGAGAGAAAGAGAGCGAGAGAAAGAGAGAAAGAAAGAGAACGAGAGAAAGAGACAGACAGACAGACAGACAGACAGACAGACAGACAGACAGACAGACAGACAGACAGACAGACAGACAGACAGACAGACAGACAGACCGAGAGGTAGAATTTTTTAGAGGCATGATGCAATATGCTGAGTGTGAGCGAAGCGAGGTGGAGCAAGGAGGGTCGGAGCGCCCCCGGCTGGTAGGCGACCGCCCGGCTCCTCGGACACGCGCGCCGCCGTGTTGCCTATCCGTTGCCCGGCGGGCGCCTCGCGGTCCTGAGCACGGCTCGCACCTCCACCGGAGGGAGTGCAAAGGGCGCAAATTACGTCATTTTTCAAAAAAAAAAGAAAGAAGGCATGAGGGTGTGCTTCACTTTCTAGTTAGAGGACCACCGCCGTCGGCCCTCTTCCTACGCCGGGGGTCCGCGTTGGCACTTCACTAGCTGTTATGGAATTTGTCAATAACGGCAGTGTCGTGCCGGTGCAGAACCCCCGGTCTGTTCAACCACACCCCTCCGCCGGACACAGCCGCCACCACCAAGTCGCCGTCGACTTCCTCTTCAAGAATTGAACGGAAGCCCAAGACCTTCCGTCGTCTCTTTAAAAATAAAATAGTGAAAAGAACAGAGAAACAAACAAGAAGCGGTCCGCTGCGGCTGCGTTGGTCGGAGAAGCAGAGCGCAGAGGAACGCTTTTCGGTCTGTTTGCCGAGGGCTCCAACCGCTCCAGCAGCGTCGTCTCCACAACGGCTCCAGGACGCGGCTCCGGCAGCTCCAGCGGCCAATCACCATCAGCGACTGAAATAATTATCAACTCGGGGGATGGGGTCGGAGAGAGATTGGGCGATTTGATTTATTTAGAGTGAGAGAATGAGAGAGAGAGAGAGAGAGAGAGAGAGAGAGAGAGAGAGAGAGAGAGAGAGAGAGAGAGAGAGAGACAGAGAGAGACAGAGACAGAGACAGAGACAGAGACAGAGACAGACAGAGAGAGAGACAGAGACAGACAGACAGAGATAGAGAGAACCAGGGCACTCCCTGCAAATTGAAGCAGTAAAATAACTGGACAGTTTGAACTGCAAAACGAAAAATAGCGTAACTGCATGACACGAGTATGTAGAATGTAGAATATTCATCAGTAGAATATCACACGTTAAACAGTTTTCGTGATATTAACGAAAAAATGTTGAGAAGTTGTTCTTCGTGAGAAGTAATTCTCGAATGCTCTGAAAACTCAACAGTGTACATTGTATGCTGAAAAATCAGTGTACATAGAATGATTGCTGATATATCAGTGTACATGGAATGATTGCTGATATATCAG